AAGTGGTTTAGATATGATTATGTTAGTTTTGTACGTATTGGGACAAATAAGTTGCAGACTATGTATAATAATAATTTAGCCATATCGGTATGTCACCACAATACAGCAAATGACTGGATCTGAATCTTTATTTTATAAAAAGAAAATGGGCAATAAAATTCATATAAATATTATCTAACCTTTTTTTAAATGGAAATTCTCCATGCATAATTTACTTGGTTATTGCAAAACTTCATATTTTTCTAAACCTTAATCTTATCGTATCATATCTTCTAGCATTGATGATAGATACGTACAGTATGGTCATTCCAGAGCTGTATATATTATGAGCTTATTAGCCTAATTTGGTATGTTTAATTTCTAAATACAGAAATAAAGCGTATAACCAGAATTATATATATTAGTTAAAAAAATTTTTTTTTTTGCATGTTTTCTTTGAAAAATGAAGTTCCTAAGCAAAGTGAGTGAAATAAAAGATACGTGTTATCTTTACTTTATGAATCTCATCTTTAACCAAAATTTAAAAATCAAAACCATTTACACAAAAGCTTTTTTTTTAAAAAAAATGTCAGAATCTGTCGCCATCTCTGTCCATATATGGTACTCTCCCACTATGTGAGGAAATATACTTGAATGAGATATCCTCTCAATCCTTAGAGATACAGGATTTGAAGTTATTCACGTAGGGTAGGTTTTCTCACTAAGTATTTGTTAAGTTATCATATATCTGAAGTTACGCTGTCCCACTGGTGTAAAATATCTGAGAAAAAATTGAAAGCTCTTCGTGGCCTATGTTTTGACATAGAACGTTCTTTTTCTCAGTTACTTGGTGTTCCTGCAGTTGTGGTACATAGGGAATTAATAGATGAATAGGATATATGCTAGCTAATGAGCGCGTCACCATCAACTATTCTGGCCGTGTGATATTTAGTTGTTAATAACTATGACATAAATACTTACTTTATTTTCAATAATAGTCATAGGGGAGATGGTAGAGTCGATATTAATACCAGAATTAAAGGTAGAAAAGTTTCGTTTCAATATAAAAATTGGACCAACAAAATAGGTAGATATTGTGTTTGTTTATTTATAAATTTTTGTTATTAATTGATTGATTAATTATAGAGCCAGAAGTTGTAAGAGCCCTAAGAGGAGTAACTTGCTTAGCAAGGCGTGTAGTGGGAATTGTTGTTAGAAATGAATTTTCTCCTAGTGCGATAGAAGAAGCAAATTTATCTGAAATTCATCCGATTATTCTTACAACTAAAACCTGACTCCCTCAAACTTTACTTAA